TATAACACTCCTACAAATTTGCAGTACTAAAACCTGACCTTACATACAAGTTCCAGGGTCAGATCTTGGTTTTTCATATAATTTATAAAGTCATATGAAGTCATAGGTCAGATAGACAGTCGGACAGATGATCCACCCGACAACGAATAATCAGACAAAGAACATCGCAATAAGGCAGTTGACAAAGAGTTCTCAAGCTATCCAACTTAGACTACATAGAACCAACGCTAACATTACCACATAATCATGTAACATAAACACATAACATATACTTGCATATTACGTACCCTTGGCAACTAGCCTTCCCTAGTTACCCTGTCATTGACCATTTCTTCAATTAAGTCCTTCACTGGTCAATCATATATAATCCTGATAACTGGCCTTCCTCGGCTACACTAACCAAACATAACTCGTAACAGTATCATACGATCAGCAGGCAAGACCCTACCGATCTAACATGCCATGACACCAAGTGTCCTACACTACACATGCATAACAAGGAGTTATCCTAGTCAACTATCATATATGTACATTAAAAGTACCACTATCCTACCATGCAAAGGATATACATATGGATACGTGACATAGTGAGAAACTCACCTAAACCGAAGAATCGAAGAAGCGGATCAACACTCTCACACATTGCACTGCTCAATCCCACGAACCGACTAACACCAAAAGAGATGAGTCATCAATCAACAACCCAAATCCTCCAAGTTTAACCCCATGTCAAACTAGTCAAAAGTCAATGGTCAACAAATGTCAGTGGTCAACTAAGTCAACAACCACCACGACATAGAAACCTCTTGGCCACGTCCTAGGAATGACAGGAAAAAACAGACGACATGCAGGACATCGCCATGTCGTGAGCCCTCCTTTGGCCACGTCGTGGGAATTTATGACAACACAATCGCGAATCAACATTCCACCACGACGTGAGCGCTCCTTGGCCACGTCGTGGTTGCTGGCAGGACTCTCATTTCTTCATTAAGAGTTTAATCCTTACAAATCTAAGACCAAAACTTCAGATCTAGTCCTTCTCAATGACTTAATGGATAAAGTTTCAAACTTTATCCATTAGTACCTCACCCTAAGACAATATCTACAACCCTAAATCCAAAACGACATAAATCTTTCAGAAAATGGGCTTGGGCTGCAGCAGCCACCACGTCATGACATGCCTCTAGCCACATCGTGGTTCTCACCAGAAACACGCGATTCATAAAATCCATGCCATTTCGTGGTCATCCATCAACCACGTCGTGGCATAGAGTTTTTCTCCTAAACCTCCAATGTTGATCCCATTAAGTCTTTAGCTTATCCATTCTGCGAAACGGGTGTTACATTTGTAAACTTTATCTTTTCTTTGATTAGGTTTTAATCTTCCTATGTCATGCAAAATGATTCTTCGTGGGTTAAAATGGTTTTAGTTTATTCAAATTATAAAATGTTTTCGTTACTAATTACGTCTAATTTTTCACTATATTCAGACTTTTTTTTTAATAAAAACCCAACGATTGGTATCGGAGGCATTTTGCAAGATTGGTTAGATTATTTGATAAGTTGATATAATATTTGTTTTTTTAAAACATGGATGATTTTCTTTTTGTAAGAAATTCCATACATATTTTCTATGATTGCTTTAAAATGTTTATAATTGTTATTTTTATGACTAAAAGTTTATATACATCTTTTTAGTCATAAAAGTTGTCTTAGAAAAAATAAAGCGTTGTTTTATATAATTTTGAGTGTTTGTGTGTGTGTGTGTGTCTATATATATATATATATATATATATATATATATATATATATATATATATATATATATATATATATATATATATATCTGTGTGTGTGTGTGTGATGTGCATAAACTAACCATGGATCCTTGTTTTGTTGCATGCGTTGATTTGTTTAAAATGGTTGTAATAATGTATTTATTCATATGGTATATAACAATTAAAAAGATAGATTTCATTTTGTTTATGTTTTTTAATAACATATTAGTTTTGGAATTAGAGTATTTTTATAAAAATATAACAAGATGAAGATGAAGACCAATTTAGAATATCAAATGTCAACCCATGATTCTATAAACATTTTCTTGACTTTTATAAAATAATGTTGTTTTTGAAGCTTGAAGTTGTCAAAGCAAGATTGTTTCCAACAAGTTGAAAATCTAAAGGTCCCTTTATGTCCCTTTAGGAACGACTTGATATTTTTGTGATGGCTCACAAGAATATCACTAGACTTGGTTGGTTTATACACATATGTTTTTGCATGCTTGTGTTGTTTAATTTATGTTGTTTTTATGTTATGGTTGATAATTTATTTTCAAATGATTAATAATATTTGGACATAAATAACATCACAAAGGAGTTTGGTTTTAATAATATATGTCATTTAACATAATATGGTAAAAGGTTTTAAAAATAAAACAAGATTTATTATTTAAACTAGCTAACGGTAGCAAACGACAAATTTTGTCAATTAAAACTATATAAGTTTAAAATTGAGATTTAGTAACTTATCAAACTTCGAACCTTATTTTATAGAGTTTTTAGCACTGTAGCACAACAAAGTTTGACGAATTTACACATTTAGTCACTCAAATATTTTTTGTGCTCAATTGGTCCTTAACGTTAGGAAATACTGACTAATTAAGGGTTTGGGGGAAATTGTATCCGGTTTACGGGTGACATGCTGACGTGGCTTGCAAAACCCATATGAGGTTTTTGGCACTGTAGTACAACACAGTTTGACGAATTTACACATTCAGTCACTCAAGTAACCAGTTTATGGCATTGTAGCACAACAAAGTTTGGCGAATTTACACATTTAGTCACTCAAGTAACCGACTGTTCATGTATCAAGTCATATAATGGTGTAATTGATAGGTAAAATTCAACTTTAATGGTCTATTAGGCACAAAAATTACTGGATTGACTAAATGTGTAAATTCGTAAAACTTTGTTGTGCTACAGTGCCAAAAAACCTATTTTATAAAAGGAAATTTTATTAAAAGGTTTATTAATGTTCTAAAGCGCTCAAACGGTAAAACTTAATACTAGTTATTAAATTTAAAATTTGATCGCGTAAATTATATAAAACCGGGTTTTATAAAAGACTATTGTTAAAATGTGATTTTATATAAAATGGGATTTTTAAAAGTATATCATGGTTTATTAGATGCACACAATAACCATGATATAATATATGCATTTTAAAACTAGAATTATAAAACATAAAAGACCCCTTAAAACCTCAAATCTTTGCAATCTGTTTTTATAGGTTCCCTTGATCGTGGTCGATTAACAGAAAAGATAACTAAAAGAACACAAAGATATATCACAAATGTTTTTCACTAAGAAAAATGTTCTCACTAAAAGAACAAACACAAAGCTTTTTAGGGTTCGTTAATCAACTAATGATACCAACCCTAGTACATAGTTCTATAGTAATGTAATTATGTGAGAATCCCCACATTCCAAGGATCTCACCTAATCTACGTAAATAATAAAATATCCGTTATCCCTAAGATAATAGATCTTCCAACTAACTATGCATATAACCATAAATACAAAGTAATAGAATAACATGCTGACAATGCTTCGTAGAACAGATCTTTACGCTGGCGCCAGTGAGATGCTGACGCTGATTAAAGTCATCATGTATTGGTTTTATCTCATCGGATTCTAAGGTTTGGCCATACAATATCCCCCAACCTGATGATTTCAAAACCCGAAATCTTCTTCACCTGATTGACGATAGAACTCATCAATATCTTCTTCAGACTCTAGATTGACCCAAAAATAATCAGAAATGGCAAGCTATTTCTTCCTTTTGTTTAGCTCAATAGAGATCAAAAACTTATAGTTTTGTTAGAATTCCAAGTTGCACAAACATGCAATTATTAGATGAACTAAGTGCTCAGTGGGTGCCTTGGCAAGATCATTGGAGCGCTGTAAGCACATGCGTCGAGATTCATCCATGTAGAAGATGTCATGTTGTGGTTGATGAATGAACATGTGTTGAACATGATCATCATCCATTGGCAAAGAGTTGTCGATGATTTTGGTGCCATAAGGAAGTAGAAATCTGACACCTTTAAAAGTTCTCTTCCGAGGCACTAAAACAGACGTTGAGGATGAGAAAGGTTTAATTGAGGTCCTGGACACTAAGTCAAGATCCTTAACCTTTGTGATGAGTCTTTGAAGTACAAACATCAATTCCTCAGCATATCTTCCCTTTTTCTTGTTAACTAACTCCAGAAGCTGCAACCACTCGTTGTACCCAAATTTCACCAGATCCTGGGAAGATAAAATCTCAGTGTAATGACAGGCAGCTTTACCCTTGTCACCATGCCTTGTGATATACAATGTAAGTATTTCTTATATATTGGGCTTAGTGCATCTTAATTTGATGATTGGATCAAGATCATTTCTTCTTGTTAGCACATCTCCAAATCTACTTCGTTCAAGTTTGGTAATTTTGCTTTCTTGAACAACTTTCTCCTTTGATATTTTCAAATTAAACTCTTTCAACCGCTCAATCTAATCATACATGTTACCAGAGGAAACTAACTTTTCTTGAATCATCTTGGAGTCATGCTTGGCATACATCCAATTTACAGATTGGATGTTGTGTTGACGTGAAAATTCCCTAGCCTCTTCGATAGACATTCCCCAAATCTTTTCCATTTCAGAAACTGTATGCTCTTGACATCTCTTTTTGGAGATACCAACATAAGAGGAGGACTTGGCCTTTCCTTTCTTGTTCGGAGGAACATCATCATTGGACTTAATGTCACTAGGCTATCATTGAGGAACATTTTCCCGTCCCTGAGGAATTTGCTCCCACTTACCGTTACGTGGGAATTTGGATACACTGTCTGAAGTGGAATTACATATATGAATGTCAAGTCCATGCAATAAACTTCATCTTCTACTTCCAACTTATTAGGAATGTACTTGACATTCGTTTTAGCGTCAGCATCAGCATTACAGTAGACTCAATGAAATTCTCCCCTTTTTGCCATCATCAGATTGAGAGGGTATAGCAAGAGTGAGTGTAAGATTTTGGTTCTGTGGAGTTGGAGAAGATAGAGGTGTATTATTTAGAGGAGACAGATTTGATGGAGAAGGACCAACATGCAATGGAGGATGAATGGTGGATGCAGTACCACCTGTTGAAGGAGCTCCAGAAGAACCAGGTGGAGGTTGTTGATCATTTCCTGGAGGTGATTAAAACCAATCATTCTCGGTTTTAGTGTCAGCTCCTGTAAGTATGTGCTTGATTTCAGCAACATCGGCCTCTACTGAGGTCAGACGTTGACTTATGTTGGAGGTTAGTTGAACAAGATACTCCAACTTAGAGAGAATGTTCCCTTGAAAATCTTTGAACTCAACAAGAAACGGACTTGGTTGTGGTTCCTCCCCCTCCCCCCCCCCCCCGAGCAGTTGCTTGTGTTGAAAGAATTTGTTTAATTTGAGTAGGTGGAGAACGAGCATGTTGTATTTTTTTGTACTTGAGGAGTACAAAAAAGTGGAGTTCGAACGCGATATGTAGAGGGTGTAATAGCAAGAGGTGTATTACATCGGTCATGCGGAGGAGTCTCAAATATATGCTAAATGTAACGGTCATCATTCTGATTAGCTATAGGAGTTTCAGGAACATGTTCTTCTTCTATGGAATGAGAAGACTCAAATCGAATATGCTTATTTGGACGATTAGATTCGGCCTCATTGAAATCATATGAGTGCACTTGAACATCTTGACCCTGGTCAATAGGGACCATCTCTGTATCTTCACCGTTACACTCAAAATTACTACCAGCAACATCAACGTCTTTTTTGGAATGAGATATTCTCTCTGTGTCAGCTTATGGATCTCCATCTTCTTGTTCAAATGCATGGTCATCATCTCCCATATCACCACCCTCCGATGGGACAACAGGAGCATTATATGGCAATCTTTCACACTCGTATGGAGCGTTAATCCACTTCTACATTCCCTTTGCAGTGCTCCATTCGTCTTTAGGATCCTGGTTGAACAGCTTTGAAGATGTAAAAGAACGAGTCCAATTTTAAACTTGTTCATCATCATATCCAATACCAAAATATTGAAATATCTGTGCAAACCACCAAGGGTAAGGAACATTAGTAGATCTTTTACTTCCTTTGATAATCTCATCAATTTGATCAAATATAAGTTGGTTAAAATCAAGCTGCTTATTCTTGATGACGGATAAGAGGATATGTTGTTCAAAGGAGTTCATCTGATCAAGACTTCTCATTTTGTGAGTGAGACACTTCCCAATAACACCAGTAAGAAACTTCCAAGTAGTTGGAAGATGCATACGGAGAACATTATGATTATATTGAGCATCAAAATCATAATCTAGTTTTTCAAGTACAGCACAACATTCATCCATAGAGGGAAGAGGAAAGTATTCATCTTGAATTGGAAGACGTAAGGATCTTTGGAAATCAATCATAGTCATTACGATATTATGCTCACCATGTCCTAATGCGCCAACAATCACTTCAGTATTATAGTAGGCAGAAGTATAGTAGAACTCAAAACCATGTTGTGGAAGAAAAGGATCGGCTACATCATCAAGAGCATAACGAATTGGACATGCGATAAGATAGGTCACGAAATCTTCAAATCCCTTGCTATAGAATTTTTTTAGGGATTTCAAGAGAAAATGCCACATTGTTGGGCATGATGACAATAGGAGTATCTTGAGTTTTAGCATTGATGGCGTTTTGTGTGGGAGCATAGGTGTAGAGAACAACAGGAGGAGCCATGAAGAATGCGATTAGGGTTCTTGAGAGTAGAAATAAACAAGAGCTTTTGATCATAACTGAGAGTGTAAAGTGTTGATGATGTTGATCCTAGAAAACACGGTTAAGAAGCAATCATAGGAGAGAAAAAAATTCACCCCAAATTTCACAGTTATCTAGAGATGGTGCATATCCCCAAATTTAAAAATGTTATCGTTTACGATAATCTTCTAAGACAATGGTAAACATGTCAATGAGAAGCATTCAGTGAGAAAAGATCATCAACGATAAGATGATAGTGTCAGCATAAGTGTACATGTAATGCAGTGGAATAGTATGAGGGATTTTGGTGTATCACACTATTGTGTTGTTACAATAGTAGATCACTTACATAGTGTTGCGAAGTCTCATCAGCGTATGGTTTTGATACACTAAATCATTAACAACTTTTATTAGAAGAAAATTTTAGAAGATAATGGTATGACTAACGTATAATTAAAACCTAGGGTTAAGTAGTAAAAGCAATAACTTATATATATATATATATATATATATATATATATATATATATATACACACACACACACATAGAGAGACACACGAGGATTAATCGCATATATGAAACTGAATTTATTATCTATAAGTTCAATAATTAAGCAAGTCTCTCATATTACGTACTAAACACCAATTTTTAGGATAAATAATTCAATTGATCATTGTACTTAAGAATCTATTAAAATTGAAGGACTGGTAATCTAATCATAAAAACTAATCAATTTAGGAATCGGTAAATAACAAAGTTTAATCCATTGCACAATCTAAGAAATGAACCATAGTCGAGATGAGAATTGAATGTAAACAAAGTACCTTTGAAATCCTGTTTACAATCTTTTTCTGCTTATTATCTATTTAGTTTTTGTAACACCCGATTTCCAGAATGGGTTAGCTAAGGACTTAATGGGACCAAATAGGGGATTAATGGTATGAATTATGATTAAAGTATGAGTTTATGGATGGCCACGACGTGGTGTAAGTATCACCACGATGTGGCATGGCCCGCATGAGATATGTACCTCATTTAAGACGCTACGACGTGACACTATGTTGAAACATGAAAAAGTAAACCTCTAGCAATCACAAGTAATAAAGTTCTGAAGTCAACAGTGTCTGAGATGTGTGAAGTTCGAGATAGATATGGAGTACGAGATGGAGATCATTCCGAGATGCAGTAAAGATCCGAGATTAGCTGTCTGTTTGAACATTTATTGTTTCTTGTCTTATTTGTGATGTAACGTTTCATAGGACTTTTCCTTATTGTATCTTTTAGATAATCAGTTGTCGGTGACTGATTATTAACCAGTCCTAGGAATGTTTTCAAGGTTTGTACGATGTTACTCCTTAGTCTATTTAAGGAGTGTTTTGAATGACAAGAAAAACATGCATTGTTACTCCAAAGATAGCAAATATTCTCTTTAACTCTCTTTCACTTTTCTCTCAAGTCAAGATCTTTCACAACATTCTTCTTGTTCATTAAATGTATTTACATTGATTATAATCCTATTTTACTTTAATTAATATTGAGTACTTTGTTAAATATTTCATTCATGTCTTGACTCGTATTACCAGACTCGACTGGAAGCTCTAATTAAGAGTGATCTTAAAGATTAACTCAAGGTTTGAGTTTTCTAACCTTGTCCTTGCGCATTGATTCTTGTACTCATAATTGGTATCAGAGCTTGAGTGGTTGTCCTTTGAATCCATAAGAGCATATTATAGTTGATTCGAAATTACCTTGGTATTTTAATCATTTATGTGTTCAGGATAAAATTTCTTCTATATACCGCTTCTGCTCTAATATCTTGACTTCAGTGGCTGCTCCTAATTCTCAACAAATGTATTCAATGCAAATAGCAAATAGTGTGGGTTGCCCTTCTCATTCCCCATTGCTAGTTGTTGAAGAGTATGATCACTGTAAAGTCAGAATGGAAAGGTTCTTACTTGGTAAGGAAAAAGGTGAAGCTATCTGGAGATCCGTAAAGGAAGGTCCACATGTTCCAGTTAGACAAACTATGAGAGATGATGCTGCAACTCTCATAGGACAGGAAAAACAGCGTCAAGCACCTCTCACTGCTAATGACATCGAGAAATTGCATGCACATCAAATTGCATTTTCCGAAATGGTGTTCGGTGTTCCTCCTTCTCTCTTTGAGCACATTAAGTTGTGCAAATCTGCTAAAGAGATTTGGGACACACTCCAAGACCTGTTCGAGGGATTAGAAAACATGAAGGATAAGCGTTTGGCTTCCGTCGTCAACGAGTTAGATACTTTCACCACAACTCCCGGTGAATCAGTTTCCTCGGCCTCTAACAAATACCGAATCGTCATCAACAACATGATAGCTCATGGGATTGTCCGAACTCCACTAGAATACAATCTCAAGTTCATCAATAGTCTTGGTAAAGGATGGGGAAACATGAAATCGCGTCTTCAGAGTAATGGATCACTGAAGAATCTGAAGCTTTACCAGCTGTTTGATGAACTTCAAGGTCATGAATCAAATGTTGCACAAACTTTTAGAGAACTCTCAGGAGGTCCTCTTGCTCTTGTTAGTTCTTTCGATTCTCACATCTCTAACCCCTCTGTTTTGGACCCATTCAAAGTTGTTATCCCATCTATCCCACATGCTCAACCCTCTCAACAAACTTTACCTGCTCTTACTAGTTCAAACTATCAGTTTGATGGAGACCTCGACCCTGAAGCAATGGACTCTGAACTTCGCTTTCAACAAGAGTTTGCTCTACTTTCCATGAAATATAAGCGTCCTTTCAATCCCACTCAGAAACCATATCACAATCATTTCTAAGCTCCTCATCAAAGTAATCCCCAACCATTTCCTAAACCCTCCGAAAATCCACCTGCTTACAAGCCAAACATCCCGACACAAAATCACCCCTCGGAATCCCACGAGATTCTGAAGTCATACAAACCAAAGATCGTTTTTCACAAGTATGGTCATGCAAAACACTTTTCCAAAGACTGCTTAGATGAAGTTCCATAAAAACCTAAGATCAAGGACTATGCATACTATGCACGTCGAGCCCAAGAGATGGCTGCTAGTGAGAAAATATTCATTACCACTGTGTCGAGAGATGTGGAAGGATATTGGTCAGGTGGATATGAAGATGATGTGAGTAGTGCTAGAAACATGTGTCTATGGCAAGACAAACAATTGAATGTGATGAAGGCTACTGGTCATCTGGATCAGAGGAAGATTATGATGATGATGGACCAAACTACTGCTACATGGCGACCAACGACCCACCCGACAGAAGCATCGTTCAACAGATAAAATTTATGATTACTGATAATAATTTTGATTTATCTCTTTGTGAACCATATCTAACCCAGAACCAATCAGATATGAATATCATCTATAAAGTCTATGAGTCTTCCATAGAATCCAGTGAGAAGATGGAGAGTGAATGAAGTCGTCTTAGATTACGTTTCGAGGATAAAAAGATTAAAATAGAGTCTTTAGAACATGAACTTGTAATGTCAAAAGATGAATGTATCATTCTTAATGACAAATGTGATATCACTTATTCTGAAAGGAATGTTTTAATTTCTAATAACAAACATCTGAATGCCAAAATTGATGCTTTACATCATTCCATAGATATTCTTGAAGTAGATGAAAGGATGACTCATAATTTTCGTCATCCTTGGTCCAAAGCACATGGTCTCGGAAGCGAGTTTTCGAAACCAATTGATCGTCCCTTGAAGGAGTTACAGAATCTAACTTTTATGGGAGACATTCCGAACTGCAAACATTTGGATACCCCTGTCTCACCTTTATCACCCCTTCATGAGACCCCGGACAAATTTTCTTCCCTGATTCCTAAGTTTCAACCAATAGTTGTCAAATATCCTGATTTCACGACTCTTCCGCCTCTAATACCCCTGGACCTGAATCAGACCTTGGAATTTTCTCCCAGAATTCCCAACACTTTAGTTCAAATTCTGAACCACAGTCCTCCTAACAATTGTCTTGTTGAGGAAATTATTCCGGAGACAACTGGACCTGACTATGATAGATCAGATTTTGTTTAGGCATCCTTAGATAATGACGTTGATGTACAAACCTTAAGTGATAATTCATATGTGATATTGCCATATTTATACATATTTTTAGGCAATATTTATTTACATTTTTACTAATAATTTGGTTATTTTCATAGAATAATGGTACTTATAAGCTAAAATTATATTTTGCAGCCAAATAGAAGCATTTTCGAAGATAGGGACTGAAATTGACAAAACATGGAACTTTGGAGGCTTGAAGGAAAGAAGAATGGAAAAGTCAACAAATGACGTACTCACGACGTGAATAGTTCATGACTCACGACGTGAGTGGAGAATTCTAGAAGATATGCACCGGATGGAAGAAGAGTCCTTGCCGAATACGCTTATCTCATATTCACGACGTGAGACTTATTGGCTCACGACGTGAACGGGGAAAAATCAGAAATTATATATATATCCTTGTCCATTACGACTTAAAGAGACTTTTGGTGGATAGAAGGCAGACCTAGAGACGATTTGGAGGAGAGAAGAAGTTCTGGAAGAGGCTTTTATCACCTAGGGAGAGAAAAGTACATCAAAAGTTTATTTGTTTGGTACATTCATTATGACTTCTATTATGAATTGTGTTTGTTTATTAGTTGCTATGAGCAGCTGAATCTAGCTACTCTTATTTAGCTAGATGAAGTTTCTAACTTATGGTTTATCTTATTGATAATGGATTTGCTTAGTTGGTAATTTGCTTGTGTTTGATTTGTACTACCTAGCGTGTTAATATTTGTTTCTTTAGTTGCTTGAATTCATGTTCTGTGTAGCTTAGTGATTATTGAATTACATGAACTTGAAACCTAGTGATTTAGTGAACATTGAATTGCTAGAGCTAGGATCGACCAAAATCTTAGATAGTAATTGAAG